GTAAATAAACGATAGAAGAATCCCTCACCTCATGGAGTTTACACTTCTAGTGTGGGGAGATAGACAATCAAAATATATAAAATGGATATTAAATGGTGATACATATCTTGGAGAAAAAGGAGGGCCTGAGGCGACTGTGTGGGGGGAGGGTGGGTGTTGCAATTTTAAACAGAGTGGTCATAAAAAGGCATCATGTAAGGTAATGTTTGAACAAAGACCTGAAGGAAGTGAGTGGGGGATCTAAGCAGGTGTTTGGGGGAAGAACATTTCAGGAAGAGGGATCAGCAGGTGTAAAGGCCTTGAAGTTGGAGCAAGTCTGGTAAAGGCCAGAGTGGCTGGGATGGGGTGTGCTGGGAGGAAGTGGTGAGAGAATGTCAGGTAAGGATGAGCTGGATTTTACAGGGCCTTGTAGGCCGTTGTAAGAACTCAGGCTTTTCCTAGAGTGCACTGGAAGCCATTGGAGGGCCAAGAAGTGACATGATCTAATCTAAAATCAAGAAACTTAGGTCACCCTTGCTGCTATGTTGAGCAAGGGTGCAAGAAGGGGACTAGTTGGGGGGGTCTCACAATACTTCCGGCAAGAAATAAAAACGGTGCTAGTCTGGAGTGGTAATCAGGGAGGTCGTGAGAAGTGATTAGATTCTGGAAATACTTTGAAAGCTGAGCTAACGGGATTTGCTGATGGATCAGATGTGCGTGCAAGAAAAGAAGTGGAGTAGAGGATGACCAGCATATTTAGCTTAAGCAACTGCAAGGACAGAGTTGCCAGTAACTGAGATGGGGTAGCGGGGAGGAAAGGGGGGGATTTTGGAGGGGCAGATCATTGAAGCATTTTGGACGTGTTAAAATTGAGATATCTATTAGACATCTAAGGAGAGATGTTGAGTAGGCAGCTGGATAAATGAATTAAGGGGAGTGGTCTAGGTTAGCGATGTATAGATGAAATTTAAAGCCCTGCAACTGAGTGAGGTCACAAGAGGAGTGAGAGAAAAAGATGTGGTCCAAGGACCAAGCCGTGTGGCATTTCGACCTTCAGATACTGGGGAGATGAGAAACCAGCAAAGGAATCCGAGAAGGACGGAGTGGTAAGCTAGAAGCCAAATTAGACAACTTTTATTCCCAAAAAAGGGAGCAAAAATATGGGATGGTAGCTGTAGGTGTAGGCAGAAGTGGGTTTGAGAGAGAGATTTTATTTTTTAACATGAATGGGGATAACCCTTGCTTTACAGGGCTGTTGTAAGGGTGGAATGAGATAGCATTTACAGTACCTGATGATAATAAGAGCTCAAGAACTGGTTAATAAGAACAGTTAATGATATTACTAATTCACCGCGATTGCTATGATGTAAATAAGCAGAAAAACAAAAGTGCTTAAGCCAGTTGGCAGTTGGGGTGAGGAGAGGCTTGCCAGAGGACATGATCAGGTTTTGAAAAGGAGTAGGCGTCAGCTAGACAATGAAGGGCAACAGGGTGGTATTCCAGGGAACAAGGTACGAAACATTAGAACATTGGGCATTTTAGGAATTGCAAGAAGTTAGGAGTGAGAAATGAGGCTGGAGAGGAAGATGGGCCAGGTCTTAAGAGGCTTGCATGCCTTAATAAGCTTATGGATATTTCCTGAATAATATAATCATTAATTTAGCTAATATACATTAAGTTCCTGCTAAATACCATACATTATTGTAGGCTCTGAGGGTATAGCACAGTGAATAGGACAAAATCTCTTGCCTTTAGGAAGCTTACATTCTAGTTGGGGAGACAAAGAACAATACTTGTGGAATGAATAAATATTTGCTAAACAAATGAGTGAAAAGGAGAGACCAACAGCGATGGAGAAGAATTTGTGATAAGGAGTGAAGGCAGGAGGAGTTAAAGATGATGCAGGTACAGGCCTGGGTACCTGGTCGTTGGTAGAACTAGTCACTGAGATAGGGTACCCTGAAGGAACAGGTTGGGCAGGTGAGTGACGTCAATTTTGACTTCAGTTTTGGACAGGTTGAGTTTGAGGGGCTCACCAGGGTATTGCAAAGGGGGCAGAGGACACATTTCTCCTCGTCCACCTAGAGCTGGATCCACGTGAGTTTAGTTGATTGTGACCTCAGGAACAGTGTGACAGAGGCCCAATAACCAAGGCAAGTGGCTATGGGTCCTATTACCAATGGACGCCTTGCTTTAGGGATAAGAAACACACCTGCCATTTATCCTGCGAGTATTTCTGCCCCTACCAGGATCCTTCCGAGCAGCCTCTCCACTGCTGCTCCACTGTTCTTACCAGTGCTAAGCTGGCAATGAGCTTCATCCACTTCTAAGCCCACCCAGTGCCACCATATTGATACCCACTTCAGAACTTGCCAAAATGACCAGCAGCCAACTTGAGACAAACCAGGGCTCTGGCTGAAAGCCCCTTTCACTGTTGATTTTTTGGTTGCATGGGTTGGACGCTGGCCATCTAGCTGGAAGATTAGTGGTTTGCTAAATTACTTGAAACAAAATCCCATCATCCAGACTCCTGGAGCCCTGCCAGGGGCAGGTTTGGGCCTCTGAGTCCTCACGGGCTGCGTTCTGGAGGAGAAGCTGCAGAACCTCCGGGAAGGGGCTGGGCTGTCGTGCTATGATACTCTTTCTGTTAGGCTTCCTAAATCCCCTTTTTCCTAATTGCAAAGAGGGGAGTTGAGTTCCTACTTCACTTTTGTTGCACTAGATTTTTGTCTCCCAAGGTTCAGTTGTCGAGGGGCAGGTCCCCATTCTTGGCAGTGGAAGGAAGAACCTGGATGCTCTGTGCCATCTTGGAAGACGTCTCAGCCACACAAGCTGAGACCAGGTCCCTTCCTTCCTGTCTGATGATTGGTGGGGGTCTTCTCTGAGCATCCTGAGCATTTCATTCATTTACTTAATAACTTTATTAAGCACCTGCTATGTGCCAGGCACTGTTTTGGGTTTTGTTTTTGAAACTTTCTTTTATTTATTTTTGTATCTTCTCAAATGATTTTTTCATATTTACATATATATGATTTTTATTTTTTAAATTTTCTTTGGTGAAAACATTTAAGTTCTACCCTCTTAGCGAATTTCAGTACAGTACAGTATTATGAACTATAGTCACTGTGTTAGACCTTAGATCCTTACCACGTACTGTTTCACATGCTGGGGAATGGAGCAGCAAATGAGACCAAAGTTTCTGTGCTTATGGAGCTTATATTGTTGTATATGTTGTATGTTGAGTAATGATAAATGCTAAGGAGAAATAATAAAGCACAAGAGGGTACCTGGAATATTGGGGTGGGGATGAAAATGTCACTTGAGTAAAGACATGAAGCAAGGTCGCTGGCCGTGATATTTTGGGGAAGAGCATTCCAAGCAGGGGGCACATGTGTATGGCACAGCATGTTTGAGGAGCAGTGCGGGGGCTGGTGTGGCTGGAGTGGAATGTACCAAGGTCCAGGCATGGACATGAGGTCAGAGAGGCTTATGGGAGACGTGTAGGTCACAGTAAGGACATGGGTTTTTCCTGAGTGAAATGTATCCACCAAAAAGTCTGGGAAAGGCTGCCAGTTACTGGTCCTTAGGAATAAGCCCCCTCAAATGCCTGAGTCATAAGGAATGAAGTGTAACACTGCATAGGATTTGTAAATCATCTTTCAGTAGTAATTGAAGTCCTCCAGTGGACCTAGTCTCAGGGAAAGTCGCAGAGAGGGACAAGGAGAGAGCCCACGGCCAGTGCATGAGGAAACCTCAAGGAGTAGACTGGCTCTCTACGCCCAAGGTTTCAGGCACTAGAATAAGTAAAGTGACTGGCCTAGGGAAGGGGGAACCCCCTCCCCACCAGGTATGAAATGCCTGAGAGCCTGCTCAGGGCGACACTTCAGCTGCCTCCTGCATCCTGTTCCCCTCCTCCCCTGAGCCCTAGATTCTCTGCCACAGCAGCAGTAGGGCCTTGTAGGGGAGCTGGGATGCTGTGAGTCAGGATTTGCCAAAGCACTGAGGGCGAAGTCAGGGCCACCCCACCTTGTTTTTCCAGTCCCTCAATTGGGGTAAGAGGGCTGAAATGTCACCAGGGTGTGTGGGGGGAGGGACAGGAAAGGGAGGAGTGAGAGTGGGCTAGTGACGGGACTTATCTGCCCCTAGTGACGGGAGTTCTCTGCCCCTGTGGCTGGAGGAGGAGAAGGGCATCCCAGGTTAGGTGGGGACTTAGAGCCAAGTTTAGAGTGACGTGTAGGAGGGCCCAGGCATCAGCAAATGCTCGGACCTCAGGCTGGAGTCCTGTGGCTCCAGGAGGGGCTGGGGCCAGCAGAATCTTCATTTGAAGGAACAAACGCCCAAATCAATAATGGAGCAAAGGGATTGGTGACTCCCTGAATTTCAAAAGCTCCTATCTTTGCATGGGTCAGATGTACCTGCCACGCCCTTCCCTGCTTGGAGCAGCCTTGCTGGCCTACAAAGCTATGAGGCTGGAAGCCCCCAGGGGTACACATCAGCTATGACGTCCCTGTAGTGAAAGTGGTGTGGATGAATGTCCCTTTTGCTCTCATCACCCAGGTCCATTATCTGTTTTTCTCAGGAGCCTGGGAACCCCTGGAAGGCAAGAGCCAAGTCTTCCAATCTTTGAGTACCGGCTCCTGCCCCAGGGCCAGCATACAGTGGGTGCTGAAACTCACAGAGGGCTTCCTATGTGCCAGGCCCTGGCAAGACACTGGGTGGGCTCTACTGGGATCCATAGGACATGACTGAGTCCCTGCCACAGTTGTACAAAAACCCGGAAGGGATTTGCCCAGAATTACACAGGTCACCATGCTGACTTGACCCCCAGGTTCTTCCCACAGATGTTCCTCAAACATGCCATGCCATCCTAATGCTTACAATTCAGGATGTGCCCAGGTAGTGGGTACCCCACCCACTACCCTCCCCTTCTGGAGCCCCCAACTATCCTGCCAGGCAATGGAGGGGCGGCGACAACCTCCCACTCCCAAATCATGAGAAATTAAGCCCAACAACTCACATCCTGGTTTATACCCCAGTTGGGGGCTTTTATTTACAGAAAGGCCTGGGTGGCTCTAGGGGGGTGGTGGAAGACGGTAATGCCAGAAAGAGAAGGGAGATGGGTGTTTAAATACTCAGATGGGAGGGAAGTAGTGGGGCTGGCTTAAGGACAGCCACCTCAGGGTAGTCACCCAGCAGCAGTCACCCAGCAAGTCCAGGGGGTGGAAACGGGATCAGGAACTGGCAGAGACCTTAGTCCACGTGCCCCGAGGACAAGAAGGCCAGTGGAGCATGGCACAGACTAAAGAGACGTTTGTTTGGTAACATCTAAGTGGTGCTCCAGGAGGGAAACCCACCCCATCCTCTTTGGAGCTTGGACTCTCCAGTGACACTTGCCCTGTCTGTCGGCCTCACCTTTTCACTTCGATGCCCTCCCTTCCCTTCCCCCATGTTACAGAATTTCTTTTTCCTCAGGACTCCCAGGTCCCAGATAGAAGGTGCTGGGAAAGCTGGTTTCCTGGGCTGAGGGATGCGGTGCATGTCCACCCAGAGGGGACCTGGTCCTTTCCGCCCAGGATGCCCGCCGGGCTCTGTTCCTGGCCTGATGTTCAAGGCCCCTTGATGGATCCAGGCTCCGTGAGGCGTGCAGAGGCGTAGGCTGAGGCTCCGAGGCAGGCTGCAGGCTCACAGAAGCCTGGCAGCCCCACGGGGCCTGGCAGACCAGGTCGGCCTGCCTCTCCAGGGGCGCCTGGGGACCCTCGATCTCCATCCTTGCCATTGATTGCCTGGCCAGGCCGGCCAGGGAGTCCTGTGAAAGGGAGAAGGTCAAAACATGAAGGCTTCCTGTCTCAACTCTAGAATTCTTAAGTCCCATTTTTCAGGTGGAGAAAATGAGGCCAAGGACACCACAGGAAGAAGGGACGCTGCCCCAGAGACAGGCTCTGAGAGTCACATGTGATTGTCCATTACTCCCAGCTTCCCATCAGTGAGTCTTGGGAGCAAATGTCCCTTCGTTTGGTGCAGATTTTGGTGCAACCAGGAAATGCTCAGAATCCCAGCTGTCCAGTTCCTGGCCAGACTCCACCCAGAGGCTCCTGGGTGCTCCACGGGGGTGCAAGAGCTGGACATGTGGGACTGAGTTCACTGAGCATGAGGCCTCCACGGAAGAGACCCAGTTGTCTGTGGGTCATTCCCGGAGCTGAGGGACAGAACTGCAGCTGTGCAGGGCCAAGGTCTTACCTGGGATCCCGGGGGGCCCAGGCATCCCAGGATGCCCACGTCCTACATCTCCCTGGTCACCCTTCTCTCCACGTTTTCCTGCAGAGAAAGAAGGAAGCCTTTAGTTTTTCAGAACTGGTAAATGTGTTTTCTACTTTGGTTGCTATTTAATTTCTATTTCACACATAGCAAGTATTCCTGTTTTGTGCTGGTTTATAATAGGGGAAAGTTGGAATGACTGCAGAACTGGTTAAATAAAGGAAGGTCCAGACAAAAGATGGAAGGTTATACAGCCGATAAAGTTCATGACAGGAAAGTGTCTAATAATAACAATAGCTGGCATTTACTCTGTGCCAACTCCATGTAAATTACCTCTAAATATAATCTGCACAATGACAACGCTATGAGGCTGCTGCTATTAATATCCCCCTTTTACAGATGATAAATCTAAGGCCCAGGGAGATTATCAGTAACTTGTTCAAGGTCCACAAGAGAAAGTGGCCGAGTCTGGATTGATAATCGTTTTGCGACTCTTGAGCCCGCCTACTTTGCTAATCTGCCTCCCCACTTCTAGAGACATGGGAAGATGTTTGTGGGGTACCACTAAGTAAATTAAAAAAAAAAAATCCACGTTATAAAATAGTACATTCATTTCCATCAATTTGCTACTGAGAAAGCAAGCCCAGGAGTTCTAAAAAATTTGGCTGAGGGAATGGGGGAAGTGCCTGTACCTCATCCCGGGGAGGGGAATGATGAAAGAAAACAGGAGGCTGGGCAATCAGCAGGCACAACCGAGACCCCTGGGGTTGGCGGAGGCCAAATCCCCAGCCTCCTGCCCCACCCCCACCCCAGAACAGCACTCACCCTTGGGCCCGGTGTTGCCAATCTGACCCACGGCTCCCACGATGCCAGGAATGCCCCGAGGGCCAGGATGCCCATGGAGTCCCTGCTTGCCTGGGTATCCAGGAGGCCCAGGGGGTCCTGGGGGACCCACCATGCCAGTTGCACCTAGGGCCTCCCGCTTGGCACTCACAGCCACCTCTGCCAGTTGCTCTGAAGGGAAGAAGGGAGGGAGAGAGAGAGAGAGAAGTATTTGAGATGGGTGTGATCTCAGTCAAATGGGAAGGCAGAGCATCCTGATGGCCCCCGGCCCCTAGGTGTGCAGACAATTCGCATGTTGGGAAGTCGAAGGTCTGGAGAGGGCAGGGATGTATGGAAGGTCCCCAGCTCCTTGGAGGCAGAGCTGGAAGGAGCACCCAGGACTCCAGGCTCTCTGGCAAGGCCACTGGAGAGGCTCCTGAAGGGTGGCCATGCCCTGACATTGACTATGAGGAGGGGTTGCCAGCCCTCCCCTCACCTTGCAGCATCTTCAGCACCACGTCCACGATGTGCTGGTCACTGGCATCTCGGCCCTGAAAGCAGAGAAGGCCTTTCAGGAAGAAGTCCCCCGCTGCCAGGGCTGACTGCTCCTGTGCCCTATGACTCCCTCCTGCTCCCATTTTCTCACCGGAAGTATTTTCACCATCTGACTGAAATCCCTCCTGCTGCACCCACACTCGTCTTCTCTGATCTGGAGCTTGGACCCAGCCTCAGAGAAGCCAGCAGTTCTGGGAACTCCCAGCCTTAGGGGGATAAGCAGCACTCCGAAGAGATTTCCTACCCAGGAGACTCTCCCTCGCCCGGGGACCAACTCACCGCCACGCCCTGTCTCCCGGGCTGTCCCGGCATGCCGCGATCTCCAGCCAGTCCTCGAGGGCCGGGGGGCCCAGGGTAGCCCTGCACTCCTGGGGCGCCCGCATCCCCATTGGGGCCCGGGTAGCCGGGTTCTCCGCGGACTCCTTGCTGCCAGGAGCGGGGTGGGTGCAGAGCAGCGGTGAGAGGACTCACGGGCCGGAGCGGGAGGGTGTCCGGGATGGGGTGGGGGTCGAGGGGGTGGGCGCGTGGGCCTGGAGAGGGAAGGGGGGCGGGGATGGCGGGAGAGGAGGAGGGCGGCGTCGCGGGGGCAGGACTCACCTGTCCCTTGGGCCCCGGCTCGCCAGACTCGCCCTGCAGCACAAAGAAGCGGGGTCATGAGGAGGTGAGGCCCCCGCGCCCGCCCGCCCACCGCCTCCCCGACCGCCCCGCGCAGCCCGCTCACCTTCTCGCCTTTCTCTCCTGGAAGGCCGGCCACCCCCGGGTCGCCCTGCAAATTGAGAACAACGGGTCAGAGCAGCGGTGGAGCTGCCGCGCGGAGGCTGTGACACCCTCCCCTCCATCCCCCCCAGCCCATCCCCCCCAGCCCCACCGCGACGCCCCGGGCGCCCCGAGGGCAGGGCAGCGGCGGCGCTGTACTCACCACTCCACCACGGGGGCCGGTCTTCCCCGGGGAGCCCTGCAGAAAGCGGGAGGTCGCGGGCTTGGTGAGTTCCCCTCTCCAGGGAGGGCTGGGTCCACAGGGCCCCCCCCACCCCGGCTCCCGGCCACACCCTCCTCCGCAGCTCCGCCTCGCCCCCCAGGCTCCCCGCAAAGTAATTTTTGCGCGAGGATTTGGAGCATTCCAGCATCTAACAGCTCCACCGACCCCTCGCCCAGGGTCTCAGGGCTTCTTTCCCAGGTATTTTCCAGCCCCGTCTGGTACCTTGTCTCCCTTGATGCCTGGCAAGCCTTGGGGCCCTGGAATTCCGGGGGGCCCCTGTTCCCCCTTGGGGCCCTAAGGAGAAAAGAAACCAGAGGAGTAAATCAGGTGAGGTGCCCAGACACGCACCCCACCGCCCATCTCAGCCACCCTGCACTTACCTGCTGCCCTTGAGGGCCTGGCTGCCCCACTGGCCCCCTCTCACCCTGGTCACCCTGAAATGGAAAGAGAGGGTCAAACTCCGGCTATCAGCAGGGGCAGCCTCCCCCTGCCAGATCCTTGCCCCTGCATGGTCGGCTGCCCTCCACTCCTGCTGTCACCAGCATGGAGGCCCTTCACTCCACTTCACAGACCAGCAAACTCAGACCTTGGCTGGGGAGGCCTCACACAGGCTGGTGGGACTGGGCAGATGCTGGGTCCAGCAGTGCCAGCTGCTGCAAAGGCCCCCAGGGAGGGGCCACTGTGCCAGGCACTTACCTTCTGCCCTACGATGCCCCGAGGACCGATTTCTCCTTGAGGCCCTGGTTCTCCCTGGTGGACAGAGAAATTGGGGTAAGCAGTAGTTCTGGTGGATCCCTCCCTTCCACACCTGGCCAACCCCTACCACCCTGGGGCTCAGCTAATCTGCTTCATCAGGGAAGGCTTCCCTCACCCCTGTTCTTTCCTTTGGGTCCCCATACTTTCCCTTCCTAGGACTCACCACAATTGTAATTAGCCATCATGTGATCATTTATTTAATGTCTGTCTTTTCCAAAAGCGGTAAGCTCCATGTGAGTAGGAGACTATCTTCTCAGTGTCTAGCACAGTTGCAATATTTGGTGAATGTTTATGGAATGAATGAATGACCGCCTGCTGGATTCTCAGCCCCAGTCAGCTTGGCCATCTGGGGAGGTCACACCCCGGGGCAGAACCAGTCCTCACCCTCACTGCATTATACGTAGGGAAACAGGGGTCCAGAGAGGAGAAGGGAGCTTCCCTGGGTCAGTAGGCGTGGCAGAGCCCTGGCTGGCACCCAGGGCATCCTCAGGCTAGGGCTCCACCCCACCGTCTCACTCAGGCCCCATACGCTGAACGCAGGGTCATCAGGCTTGGGGAGCCAAAGCAAGAGCCCTTGTGTCAGAGGAGGGGGCACTTACCTCCTTCCCAGGGGGACCAGAGAATCCAGGGGGGCCTTGCTGGCCTGGCTCACCCTGCAGGAAAACACAGTTCTAAGGTCAGTCTGGGTAGCCCAGTCAGGCTTTGGCCTTGGAGAAGCCCCAGTGAACTCTAGACAGCCTCTAGATCCAGATGAGTTGGGGAGGGGAGAAGTGTTCTTGGTCAGGTCCTCTGGACACCACTGATCTTCCTGTGTTTGTTTCTCCTCTGGATTTGGAGCCACGCCATCCTGTCTCCACTGAGCAAGGATGAGGGGTGGGGTGAGGGCGTGGCAAGAGGGAGGTGGTTAGGCCCAAGGGACTTGTGTCCATGCTGAGTCGCTGAGCCTGGGGTGAGGCCTGGGTCTTGCAGTCTTTAAGCCATGCCCCTGATCCCTGCCCCCAGGCTCCCTTGCCCAGATGAAGCCCAATCTGCGCCCAGCTTGGGGTCACCTCACCTTGTCTCCAGGGCCTCCTTTTGTCCCGGGCTGGCCCGGCACACCCTGGAGAAAGAAGCCGACATCAGTTTCCGCCCTGGCATGGGGGAGCCCCATGCACCTGCTGTGCTGCTTCCCATCCCCAAGCCAGATCCTCCGCTGCCTGTGGGAGCTGAACAGCAGCAGGCCCAGCCACGGCATCATAAACTGGACTGGTGGGAGAGGACGGGGTACAGAGGGGCCTGCCTACCAGGGTCCGTGGTCCATAGGGAGAAGAGGAGCACACTTATGTGCTCACAGGCACATGTGAGTGCATACAGGAACACAGTCTACACATGGGCATGTTAGCAGACCTTGGCCTCAGTACCCCCAACTGGGGGGTGGTGGGGTTCTCATGGACTGGAGCCCAGAAAGTGTGGGATGGAGGTGGGCCTGAAGGGTGAGAAGGCACAGAGAGACGGGGAAGAACATTCCAAGCAGAGGGACCAGCAAAGGCCTGAGGTAGAAAAACGGAGGCAGTGTTGAGAAGGGAGAGGACGTGAAGGGGCAGCAGCTGATGCGGCAGGAGGGGTAGCTGGGGTCAGATTATGGTAGTCCTTGGAAGCTAAGATGAGCTGTGAGGACAAGGATTGTAGCTGGCCTGGTCATAAGTGTCTCCCTGCCACCCAGTGTACCTCGGGTACTCAGTAACTCTTTATGAATGACTGGACAGAATGAGTTTTCCCTGGAGACACCATGGAAGGTGCTTTAGGAGGGAAATGATCAGATTCTACTTAGCCAACAAGGAGGATTAGAATGGCTAAAGAGAAGGCTGGAGCAATTGTCCAAATGATGAGGCCTAAGCCAGGCCAGAGGCCACAGAGGTAGTGGTGAGGCCTGGGCCGGGAGAGGCACAAGGACTAAAGCAGGAGCCCTGGGCATGTGGATTTCAAGCTCATCAGCCACTCATGCCACCATGGGGAGGTGAGCAACAGAGCCTGGCCTCTCTGAGGAGAAGCAGCTTACCGTGGGGCGGCCCCCGGGGCTCCACCCCATACTCACCGCGAGGCCCTGGTGGCCTGGGTTTCCTGGCCGCCCCGCCTGACCTGCACTGCCCTGGAGAGACAGAAAACCAGAGGCACAAATGAGAGCACCAGCTACGGAAGTCCATGGCTTCCACCCAAGTGCAGGCCGGGAAACTGAGGCCCTGCCTGAGGCAAGAAGGAATATGCCAGTGACACACCTGAGGATCCCAGGCTCCTAGGCCTCCAGGATCAGTGTGATAGGACTCAGGGCCTGAGCTGGGAAGCGCCCTGACCCCTGCCCCAATCCCACCAGCAGTCCCCATTCCTACCTTCACGCCAGGTGTGCCTGGAGTCCCATCCTTGCCGTCGATGCCCGGGGGACCCTGCTCAGGAGGAAAGTTGTAGGGAGACACAATGGAGAGATGCCTGGGGTCAGGCCACTCACCCATGTCCCTCTATGACAGCTGCAGTGTGCAGGTAGGAAGTGAGTCTGGTCATCTTGAGGAGACCCACTAGCCAACTAGGGGAGGGGAGTAGAGGTGGGAGGGGGATTTCAGGGGATGGACCACAGTCCTTCCCTTGTGTGGGTGAGAAGAGTCCCAGATTGCTGCAAGCTTCCCATGACTTCTACATCATCACCCCATTTACAGGTGAAAAAACTAAGGCGTAGAAAGAGGGCATTTCCTGAAGCGACAGAGCCAGCCTGCCTGCAGCAGAGTTCAGTCTAGAATCCCAGGATCTTTGTCCTCTCAGGGCTTGGAGAGCTGACTGGACCCTGCCCTCTGTCCAGGTGGGCCTGGGCCACTTACGGTTGCTCCCTTCGGGCCTGTTATTCCCTGGGGTCCTCGAACACCTTGACTGCCCTGCAAGTAGACAGAGATGAGGTCACCTTCAGGATGCTGAACACTGTCTGGCTGTTCGGAGAGGGGAACAGCTGAGAACAGTGACCTCTGGGTCTCAGGGGCCCTCTGGCACAGGCCACGCTGAGCAGGGGCTGGAGGAGAGGGGCCTGGGAGAGCTCTTTCTGCCCTGGACCCAGCGGGAGGGAGTAGAGGTCAGCGCCAAGCAGGACTGGGCTGGGCAGATGCAGCGACAGGACAGGGGAGGGCGCCACACTCACTGAGGCCCCAGCAGGGCCCTGAGCGACGCATGTGGGAAGAAACACAGCAACCAAATGCGGGCGTGGACTTGGTTTGTGTCTCAATTTGAACAAGAACCTTGAAAAGACATTTTTCAGATAATTGGGAAAAATTTAATGCAGACTGGTTATTTGATGATATTAGGGAATAACTGAAAATTTTGTTGGTATGATGATACTGTGATTAGGTGAGAATAAGTCCTTATTTTTGAGATACATACAGAATTATTTAGGGGTGAAATGACATGATGTTAAGGATTTGCTTGAAAATATCAGAGCAAAGCAAGAACAAAGAGAGAAGGAGGGAGAAAAGGGCATGGATGAGGTGAGTATGGCAAAATGTTAATTTGGGGAGATGGGTGTATGGGGGTGCATTTATCATTCTCGTTACTTTTGTGTATGTTTAAAAACTTGCAAAATAAAAAACTTTAAAAAATAGCTTACTTTCTGCTCAATTTTTCTGTAAACTCAAAACTGCTGGAAAGAAATATTCTATTGTTTTAAAAAAAAGAGTTAAGAGAACTGGGATCTGGACCAAATCCCATTAGCCCCATGGCTGATTTGCTGGAATTTCATTGTCTGGCCCCAGGGACGGTGGGACTGGAGTCTCTGAATTTGATCAGCAACAGGCTGGGCTTCAAGGAGTGGGGGCTGAGCGGGGCTGAGTGGGCTCTAGGCATGGGCGCTTCTCCCCCGCACCAGTCACGCACACGCACAGATGCACAGAGTAACACTTGCTCAGACACGTGCACGCGCGCACACACACACACCAGCCTTGGGTGGAGCTGAGTCCTGCCCGGTACTTCGGAGGGGCGCTGACTGGACACGGGGTGCCTGAGGACTCACCACGTCGCCCTTCTCCCCAGCTCGGCCTGGTGGCCCCCGCGGACCTTCCTCACCCTGGCAAGAAAGACAAACAGGAATCCGGGTTACATGGGCTCAGGGGGAGCCACACCCCCTCTGCAGCCCCAGGAGCTCTAGCCTGGAGGAGGTGTGAGTGGGGAGGTGAGCAGAAGCAGACTTACCGGGGACCCGGCGGCGCCAATGGAGCCCACCATGCCTTTGTACCCACGAGGACCCTGGGGAGAGGTAGGGGTTGTGGTCAGTCCTGGCTGGACCCCAGAGGGCTGGTCATGCCAACTTTTGCAGGACACCCCCAGATCACTTACTGTCTCTCCTTTGGGTCCCTCCATGCCTGGGTAGCCCCTGACGCCCTGGGGACCCTATTGAGACAGAAGAATGACAGTGATGGCAATTACAAGACCCACTTCATGATTCCTTCCCTGACCCCCACCCCTAATTTTCACAATGCCCCTCTGGGGCAGGCAGCAGAGTCCCTATCTCACAGATGAGACATTGAGGCTCATAGATGGGGAGGGACTTGCTAGGGTCACTCAAAGGGACAGTGGCAGAACCTGGGCCTCAGCCAAGTCTTCCGGCTGACAGCCTTGGTTCCTGTCCCCCAATTTCTAATAGTCAGCCTCAGGCACCCTCTCCCTACCCAGAGACACACCAGCTGGGCACAGGCGTCTTTTTTACAAGTTAGAGGCCAGGGCAGGGAAATGACTCTACTGAGGTCTCCCAAGACGAGGAGAGCAGGGTCCTGGGAGGAGTGTTCCTTACCTGCGGTCCAGGGATGCCTTGCTCTCCAGAGGCACCCACATCGCCCTTAGGACCCTAAAGGACAGGAATGACTGATCAGACAGGCAGGCAGATGGAGAGACAAATACACAGACAATCAAAGATACCACCCCTTCCCAGCAAAATCAGACAGGAAGGACCCCTAGAACCCACACGGTCTCATGTGACAGATGGATGGGGGAAATGGAGGCCCAGCAAGGAGTAGGGACTTGCCCAGAGACACATTAACCTAAGAACATAGGCCTCCTGCCTCAAGGCTCAGTCCCCAGAGACCCACTGTGGAAGGGGAAGGGATGATGAAGGGCGGAGGCCTCTGTAGGGCCCTCTCCACATACCCCCTCCCACGGCCCGCAACCCTCACACTCACCGGCTTCCCCTGGCGGCCGGAATCTCCCAGAGCCCCGCGTTTGCCAGGATGCCCCTGAAGCAAAGGGGAGAGCAGAGTGTGAGGTCCTTTCCCAACCACCTGCCCCGCCCCGCAAGACTCGGGCCACGCGCTCACCTTCACTCCCTGCAATCCTGGGGGGCCTTTAGCTCCCGCTGGACAGTTGGTTGGACACTGAAAAGAACATCCCGCAGGGCTCTGTGGTCACTGGCCTGCCCCAGGCCAACTTGGCAGTGTTTCCCCATTTGCCCACTCCCGAAGGCTCCTCCCACCCCACCTGGCCGCACCTCTGCCCAGCCCCTCCCCATCTCCCTCTGACCCTATCTCCCTGACCGAAACTATCTCCACGCCCGCCCCGTCTCCAGCCGACCCGCCCCTTCCCCGCATGAGCGCCGCCCCAGGCCCCGCCTCTCACCAGGAAATCCGCGCTGCCTTCCAGGCCCGCGATGGTTCCGGGGCGTCCCTGAGAGGAGATGTATGGAGATGGAGCCTTACCCAAACCTTCCCCACCCCAAGCTTGCGCCAAGGACACTTGTCCTTCCCCATGTGGGAGGTCTGAGGACGCTTACCGGTTTCCCAGGGGGGCCTGGGGGCCCTGATGGTCCCTCTGGTCCAGGATCCCCCTGGAAGCAAGAGAGGCCCAACTTATACCTGTCCAGCCCCCCCCAGGTCACCTTTGTCCCCTCCTCCAGTTCCTGCAACTGCCCTGTCCACCCTGCCCTCCAGGTCACCTCCTGAGATCTGGGCTCTTGGGAAGATCAATGGCCCCAGCCCTGGGCCTCCCTGAAAGACCTACAACAGGGTGGGCTTAGCAGAGGGGCTTCTGCCCCAGACCTGGAGGAGCTCCCTGGTGGCCAGAAGCCGGCCCAGGAACTCCTGAAGAGACACTCAACTTGCCAGCTTGGAGGCAGAGGGCAGGAGATAGAGTGAGCAGAGGGGTGGCTGGGGCTCACCTTGGGGCCTGTGATTCCAATCTCACCAGGGAGCCCAACAGGTCCAGGTGGTCCCTAGGAACAGAGATGTCACTGGCCAGGATGCCTTGGAAGGTTAGACCACCCTACACAAAGGTAGGAATGGGCACCCAAAGCCCCCTTCCCCACTTTTACTTTGCAACCAACCCCAGAGAGACTGACAGATTAAGGCTTTAAGGGCCAGAGAACCCCAGAGCCAGTGGATAGGCCCAGAGTGGGCTGGCCCAGAGTTCTCTGGCAAGTCTGCCCATTCCTGACACCATCACAGCATGCTGGGTCCTCCCCATGATGGCCAGTCCCCTGGAGGCCCTTCTGCATCCTCCTTCCCTGGGAGTCCCAGGGACCCTGCCTCATCCCTGATGACTCACAGGAGGTCCAGCGAAGCCAGGGCCCTGGAACAAAAGGAAAGATTAGGTTCATGGCTCCTTCTGCAAGTCCCCCCTACCCACCAAGGGTCCCTCGAAGCCCTTATGGGTTCTACTCACCGGCAGACCCGGGGGACCTGGGAGCCCAGGCTGGCCCTGCAAGAACATTGGGAGAGGCTCAGAGGCTGGGGTCTCCTGGATCCCTGCTCCTCTCTACCACAGCCCCTCCCAAACTCTGGCCCTACATTGCCCATGCTGGCCAGTCCCCAGCAGGCCATTTACCTTGACTCCAGGGATCCCCATGGGGCCAGGCTCCCCCTTGGCTCCAGTTAGACCCTGGGGAAGAAAGAGAAGGAACATCAGCAAGGAACAAACCTGCTCCCTGACCCATGGGGCAGGGCAGATCTGGAGGGCTCTCCTGGGTGGGCCCAGGCTGCCTTTCATCCTGAAGGCCTAGGGGCCTCAACACCTCACTCTCCCTCCCGCCCTGTGCCCACAGTAACCCTGGGAGGCAGGCAGGCAGAACAATTATCTTCTTTTGAAACATGAGAAACCAAGGCCCAAAGATTTGTCAGCCCAGGCCTCACGCCTCTCAGTTTAGGAGTCTAGAAGACCTAGACACGGGTCTGGATTGGCTATTTTCTTGATGTCTGCCCTTGGCAACTTTTTCTGAGACTTAGTCTTCTCATCTGCAAAATGGGTTAATAATCATGCTTACCTCTCTGGGGGGATGTGAAAACTGATGTGAAAGGCAACAGGCTTTGTAATCTTTACAGGGTGTGAACGAGTTAGAGGGGCCCTGGTGGCTGGTCACAGCCCTGGTGGGCACCTCTTGAGCCAGCAAGGCAAAGGCAACTCATGGGGGCCTCTTCTTCCTCCCGTGTTTCAGTGACTGACCCAAGTGTATCCTCAATCAGATGACTGTCCCAATGCCCCTGGCTGTATCCAGGAGCCTGTGACCTTGGGGCCCCTGGGAACTCTGTGGTATCAGCCAAATAATGTTGCTTTCCTGAGTTGCACCTGGGGCTGCCAGGGGGTGGGGAGGGGAAGGGAAGAGGAGTGCATAAGGACAGGACCACCCAGAGTATTCAGTCCGATACCTGGAGACTAAATCCTGGTTGCTGCAGAAGAATAGAACCCCTCTCTACACCCTCATCTGCCCGTGATCCAAAGCTCTCAGGTGGGCGTGGGGTTCCAGTGAGGTCACAAGTCATATGAAAGTGAGAGGGGCTCACAGCTGTACAGTCTCTATCCTGCTGCCCCGCTCTGAAGAGAAGAGCAGGGAAGATGCCAGCACCGGGCTCTGGAAGCCAGTGGGTGGAGCCTTCACCTGCTCCACCCCACATTCAGGTACTTACATCGGTCCCGGGCTTCCCGTCTGGCCCATCTGGCCCCGCTTGGCCAGGATCTCCCTTAGGTCCCTTGAAAACAGAGGTGAGGTAGATATTAGCCAGAGAAGGGCAAGAACTGGAAGGGTCAAAGTTCAAAGAGGAAAAAGCACTCACCGGAGGGCCAGCTTTCCCAGGGGGCCCCTTGTCACCCTGCAAGATACAAGTTGGTGAGACAGCACGCTATGGCTCATGCTACCCGCAATGGGCTCACGCAGGCCCTGGCTGGCTGGTCCCACAGGCTCCTCTCCTCACTCTCTTCTCTTCTGTCCTGGGTCTCCTCAGCCTTGTACTTTTTAGTAAAATAGCTCCCTTTCCCTCAAAAAAAACCTCATAGGTGAATTGAGACCAACCCCAGCCAGGCCGGAGAGGGTGATATCAACATGCAGGTGGGTTTTAGACATGCTGATGCTGGGAAGGTGACTGTTATGAGACCTGTAAATGGGGTTTGGGCTCCATGTTACCTCGGAGAGCTGCTGCGTCTTGGATTGGGGCAAGCGTGGGAAGAAAGCTGGGGCTTTTGGAAAACCATGAAGGGGAGATGAGTGAAGTGGGCAGCGGCTCTCTTCTGAATTGGGGTCAGGAAAACAAAAGGGGCAAGGACCAAGCGGACCTTTGAAGGGGACAGATTCAATCTGTTCCCAAGGAGGGAAGGACCTCTTTCCTCGGTGACAAAGGACTCTTGGTGGAGGACAGGCGGGGCCTGTGGAGTCACATTCAGCCCCAGAGTGAGCATTGGGAATGGGGTGGTAAGGTTGGTGCCTGCAGTACCCCTCGTTGTGCCCTGGCATTTCAGAGCCTACAGCAGCCAGAAGGCTGGCGGGAGCCCAGAGCCCTGTATTTGGAGGGTGGGGGCACCAAGTTGAATAGAAGTCTGTCCAGAGGGGTAAACATGGAGCTGACCTCCTGGGGGAGCCTCCAGAATGAGGTATTTAACCTTCATCATGCTAGGAGAGCAGGGAACAAGCCCAGCTGGTTCTAAATCCGGGAGAAAAATGCAAAGGGAAGAGACAGGAGTCTGGCCCCAGCTGGTCAGTGGTCTTGCCCAAACTACGCTGAAGAAGCATCTAGACGTGCCAGGGGGCAGGGCGAGGGGTTAAGGCATCTCCAACTCGAAAAAGAAGGGAGAGGAGGGGAGGGGGATAAGGAATCGCTGTGAGCTGCGGCGGCAGACGGAACAGCAGCTCCTTGTCCGCGTGCAGCTATAACGGGATCTGCATCTCTGGGCTGGTTTGAGGTTTTTGCAGAACAAACGGGTCCCTTGTGCAGGCCGGCGCCGCCTACTGGCAACGAGGGGCACTGCATCTCCAGACACCAACCTCACCACCCCCCATTCCCAATGCTCACAAAGTTCCCCTTTGTCCGCAGCCTCCCTCCCTCTCCGGTCCCAGGTTAGAGACTCACGTCGATGCCGTCGGATCCAGGCACTCCTGGCGGCCCCGGGGGTCCCGGGGGCCCCGGCTCTCCTGGCGGACCTCTCTGAAAACACACACAGGGGTGCAGCCCTCAGTGCAGGGAGCTGGGCGTCCCGGGGGTGCACCTCCCCTGGGAAAGGGAGCCCCGCAGGGAGCCGGGAACTCCCGTCTATTGAGAACCTACTGTGTAGCAGAAACGGTGTACATTACCTATATGATCTTATGGAATGCTCAGAACTGTGAGGCGGATACTATTACGATCCCCAGTTTGCAATTGAGGAAACAGGCTCAGAAAGATTAAGGGGTCCATGATCACAGAGAGTAAGTGGTGGAGCCGGGATTCCGTCCTAAGTCTGACCGACTCCTGCCACTGTACCACGTCGTCCTTGCGCTGCCGTGGTGGGGAATAGATGGAGATGGCTCCAATCAACCACAGATGGCAGGCACGGTGGTGCCTAGCGGGCAGTTGGCCCTCAATGAATGGTTGCTCGTATTATGTTTAGATGAACAATGAGTATAGACGGTGAGTAGTTACCCCTTCCTCTCCCCCTGGTGCGGGTAAAACCCGAAGAGAAAGTCGGGGAGGCGCAGCGGGGTGCGTAGGGAGAGGAAGCCTGTTCTCTCCTACCACTCAGAGCACCCCTCTCCCAGCACTGCTCCTCCGTTCACCCTTGGGTGGCCCTCTTTTGGGGGCCAGCCCTGACCCAGGAGGGACGTGCGCGCGCCAGGTGCCCGCGCCCTCCCCAGGCTGGCGCCCGGCAGGCGAGCTGCGAACCGCTCTGGGCACTAGACGGCGCCCCGGCCCTGCCCCGCCGCGCCCGCGTCCCGTTAGGCCCGCAGCCCCCGCCGGCCATCGGAAGTGAGACGCAGGCCCGCGGGCCCCGCCGAGAGGCACCCGCGGGGCGAGAGCGGCGTCTGGCTGGAGCCGGCGCCCCCTGCGAGGCGGCGGGGGCGGAGGCTCCGGAGCCCCGTGAATGGGCACCATTGTCTCCTCCGCCACCTGGGCTCTCCGGGCTGCCAGGACCCGGCGCCAGCTCCTGCCCCGCGCTGCCTGTCCCGGGCAGGGCCGAGCATCTCGGGACAGGGTCCCTCTGGCTCCCCGGCTCATCCACCTCCTTTCACGGTGCGGGGATGTGCCCCATATGTGCGCCTACCGAGGGGACTTGCGCCGCAGCACTGTTCGAAGCGGCCCCTCGGTCTAGAGAGTGTCAGCAGAGGGTAGGGGACAGGCAGAGCCCTTCACCAGACTCCTGGACCTGAAACCCGGACCCCAGACCCCGCACCCCGGACCCCGGCGCGGGAGTGGACGCGGGACTTACGATCTGCGCCAGGGCGAGCCCGAGCACCTGGAGGAGAACAAGGAGGCTGCGGGGACCGGCCGCAGCGGCCATGGCGGGCGACGGGTTCGTGGAGGACGGTGCCCGGGTCCCACGCACGCACCGACGGCTGAGGCTCCGGGCGGGCGGCGCTGGCTGCTCCCTGTCCCGGCGCGCCTGGCCTCCTGAATATGCGGGGGGCGGGGCGGGGGCCCGCGGGGTCTGTCACCTGAGAGGACCGGGGGAGGGAGGCCGGCGCCCTGCGCCCGGCTCCGCCCCGCTCGGTCCAGCCGCCAGTGCCCACCCTCCATCCTCGCCCCGGCCTTCTCGGAGGCCCCGGCAAGGTAATGCGAGGAGAGGCCGGGCTGCAGGACCGAGACCATGGTCCTGTTTTTCTGTCAGGAAGTAGAGGGCCGTCGGAGCCCTCCTCCAGCCTGAACTCCAGGACCCAGCACCTTCCCCCTGACCCGCAGCCCTCGCGCCCGTCACTTGCCGCACGTCCTCAGCCTATTCTGTCTGCAAGCCCGGCCTGGATCGGTCCTCTCTCCTCCAGGGCCCAGGCCGAGCGAGCCTCACGTTCTGCAGACCTTGTAGCAGACTCCGACCAGCCCCCACCCACCTCGTTCCTCTCCACATACAATCAGGCTTCTTCTGTATTAAAATATACCGAAGCCCCTCCTGGATCAGCCATCCTGTGAAGACACCCATCTGCCTCTTTCCTCTTGCTTCACTGCTAAGTCTTTAGCGGAGTTGTCTGCACCCCACCTCTAAACTTCCACACCTCCTCCTCACCTCCCTGTTTCTGCTCCAGCTGCGAGATCAGTCTTCTGGAGGTCACCAGTGAGGCCCAACTCTTTTTCAGTCCTTCAGACAGAAGGTTGTTGGCACCTGGGCCTGCCCTTGGCCATTCTGTCCTCAAAGTCTTCCCTCTCCGGGCTTCCAGCATGCAGCAACTCTCTTCTTCCACTGCCTTTTCTTCTCTGCAGCTCCATTAAGCATCAGTATCTCTCGGATTGGGCCTTCTCAATCACTCTGGGTGATCTCCTCCATGTTCATGGAAACAACCACCACCTCATTCCCCAGAGTTTCCAGAGCCTACCTGTCCAGCATAGCCTCTCTTGAGTCCCTTACCTTCTCTTTCATTCACTTAAGCAATATTGGTAAGTGCTTTGGAATCTGCCTCTGTCACTAACTATAACATGACCACAGGCACCTAAAACTATATGAAGTCTCAGTTTCCTCATCTGTAAAAGGGAATAATAATAATCTCTATTTTACAAGGTTTTTGTGAAGATTGAAGGAGATGATGCGTGTGAAATGCATAACCTAGCACCAGCACCTAGTAGGTGCTTGATACATTTTAGCTTTCAGTATGATTTATTGAGGACGCTCTATTTACGACGCCTGCACCAATGTGAGGAAGACCACCACAAACAGATCAGCTAAGATAGTCAAGGGGAATATCCTCTGGAACCTAGAAAAGTCCAACTCCATTGGGCATGGTAGCAAAGGGCCTTGGGTTTTGAAAGGGGTTCCTGGAGCTGAGTTTAGGAGAAAGGGCTTGAGAGAACTTAATTGTTCTGCTGGACTGAGTGAGGAAGAATTTGGAGCTTGGAGGAAGTAAGATGGGAGGAGGAGGCGGTGAGAGAGGGATGATGGTCATTGCCTGGAGGGAGTGCCATAATAGGTGTAAATGACTTCTGAGAAATGGAACGTCCAAAGTTGTTGGTCTTATGTTGTTCATTTCTTCATCTCTTTGTGGGGTAAACACACAAACGCCTGGTGTGAGTAAGTTTTTTTTGTGTGTGTGTAAATTATAGACAGGGGATCACCTTCACATTTGGACAGCACACATTAGCGGATTAGTTGCATGGCAAATCACCTAAAAACTTAGTAGCTTAAAACAACAGTTTCTTGGATCAGGAATTCAGGAATGGGTCTGCTGGTTGGTTCTCACTTGAGGTCTGTTATGAGGTTGCAGGCAGATGGTGGCTGGGGTTGTGTCATCTAGAAAGGCTCACATGTCTGGTGTCTGTAGCTGGGGCTGGAACAGCTGGAATTTGTTGGGCAGCTCTCTCCTTTATCTCTGTGTGCTTACCACAGGGTCTCTCCAGCACGGCGGCTTCAAGATAACGGAACTTTTTACATAGCAGCTCAGAGAGAAGGAGAACACCAGACTGAAGCAGAACTGCCTTTTAGGACCTAGCCTCAGAAGTCACACAGCATCAATGTCACCACATTCTTTTGGTCCAGGCAATTACAAAGGTCTGCCCAGGTTCAACGGAAGGGAACAGAGACCCCACCTTTTGATGGACGAGTGTCAATATCACATTTCAAGAAGAGCATGGGGGATGGGACATATATTAGTGCAGCCATCTTTGGAAAGTACAACCTACCACACTTGGGCTTATAAACTGAACCAATTCAGCGGAAGCTGGAGCTGACCAAGAGAAATCTTAGGGAAGGCTTCAGACCCACAAGAAATGGGCTAAAGTTTCCAGCCAATGGCATATACCTCTTAAGGAGCAGGGAGAGGTTATTTTCTTCTGCCTTGCTGCCCTTAATATTTTTTCTTTGTCATTGACTTTTGGCAGTTTAACTAATATATGCCTTGGAGAAGGTCTTTTTACATTGATGTAATTAGGAGTTCTATTAGCTTCTTTTACTTGTAATTCCAGCTCCTCCAGGTTTGTGAAGTTCTCATCTATTATTTCTTTGAACAAGCTCTCTGGTCCTTTCTCCCTCACTTCTCCCTCTGGAATACCTATAATCCTTATGTTGCATTTCCTAATTGAGTTGGATGTTTCTCAGAGAATTTCTTCATTTCTTTTTAGTCTTAGTTCTCTCTCCTCCTCCATCTGCAGCATATCTATATTTCTGTCCTCTAAATTACTGATTCTGTCCTCCATAATATAAGCTCTATTTTCTAAGGACTCTAGATTTTCCTTTATCTCATTCATTGTCTTTTTCATCTCCAACATTTCTGATTTTTTATAGTTTCAATCTCTTTTGTGAAGAATTCCCTCTGTTCATAATTTTATTCCTGAGATAATAAAACCGTCTTTCTGAGTTTTCTTGTAACTCATTGAGTTTCTTTATGATAGCTATTTTGAATTCTATGTCATTTAGATTGTAAATTTCTGTGACTTCAGGATTGATTTCTGGGTACTTGTCATTTTCCTTCTGGTCTGGAGTGTTAATATACCTCTTCGTGCAATTTTTTTTTTTTTAAGATTTTATTTATTTATTTTTTTCCCCCCAAAGCCCCAGTAGACAGTTGTATGTCATAGCTGCACATCCTTCTAGTTGCTGTATGTAGGACTCGGCCTCAGCATGGCAGGAGAAGCAGTGCCTCGGGGCGCGCCTGGGATCCGAACCTGGGCTGCCAGCAGCGGAGCGCGCGCACTTAACCGCCAAGCCACGGGCCGGCCCTCTTCATGCAATTTGATGGGGTGGACTTTTGCCATCACCTAGCAGTAGTATCTGGTCACAGATTCCACCTGCCGCCCCAGGGGAGCAAGCAGGAGCTGTGTCTTCTGAGCCCTCTAAGACCCCTGGCAGATGTGCCTGCCCATTGAAAGCTGTGCTGATAGGGCCCATCTGCGTTTGCCCGCTGGCCGCTGCTGCTTTACACACATATGCATTGGCGCTCTGGCAGGGGTCCTCTGTTCTGGCTGACTGGCCGAACTGGTGCATCAGGCAGGAGGGGGGTGAATGGCACTTTCTTTCACATGTGTGATCCCATGTGCCCCTGCTCTGCACTCACTGTCTGCTGGCTTGGGCTGCTCAGCTTGGTATGGACGCCCCCACAATTGCTTAGCTGCCTCAGTGTGAAGCATTCCCACAGGCTGGGAGGCAACTCTGAGAGCACACATGTTCCCGCAGAGGGCTGCCCTTTTCCCCTTCTCCTCTCAGTGTCATGCGCTGGCTGCCATGCGAGGTTCCACGCCCTGGATTGTTGTCACTTGAGGAGGGAGAGGAGATCTCTTTACCTCCTTCCACTGCCTCCCAGGAGGGTCCAGCATTCTCACCTTCAGACATATGGCTGTGTGGATCTCTCAGATGTCTATTGTGTTGTGTGAATGTCCTCTTTTGGTTTATGAATGTCCTTTTCATTGTATTGTAGGGCGGAGAGACTAAGGGAACAGCTCACTCCACCATGATGCTCAGAATGCAGTTTTTATGAAACTTGACAAACTGACTCTACAGGGATTCTGGAAGAGAGATGGCATGAAAATAGCCAATAAAATTTGAAAGAAAATAAATGAGAGAGGTCTTTCTCTACCAGAGATCAAAACATAATATAAAGCAAGTTATTCAAACTTGCTTTAATTTAATTCAAAATTATCTGCTCAAGAATAGATAAAAAGAGGGCCGGCCCTGTGGCTTAGCGGTTAAGTGCACACGCTCCGCTACTGGCAGCCCGGGTTTGGATCCCGGGCGCAGCCCGACGCACCGCTTCTCCGGCCATGCTGAGGCCGTGTCCCACATACAGCAACTAGAAGGATGTGCAGCTATGACACAACTATCTACTGGGGCTCCGGGGGAATAAATAAATAAATAAAAATAATTATTAAAAAAAAAAGAATAGAGAAAAAGAGAGAGAGACAAGAAACACATACACATTTAATCTATGATAAAGGTCTATATATTCAGTTTATGATAAAGGCTAAACTGAAGATCAATGAGGAAAGGGTAGACTAGTTAATGAATGTTGAGGCAGTTGGACATATATTCAGAAAAAAATTAAAGTTAGATTTCTACGTCAGCATACAAAAACTATATTCCTGGACAAATGAATTGAGGACTTAAATATAAAGATAACAAACTATGAAAAGCTAAAGGAAAATTTTTTGGTAAGGAAAACTCTCCCGAGCAATACACGAAACTATGAAGTGATGTTTAATTGACTTCATAACGCTTTTTTGAATGTCTTTATAATAAAAATGTGTAGATTAAACTAAAAGACAGAAAGGAAATATTCACAATACACATCACCAGGCAAAGAATTAATGTGGATAACATACAAAGAACTCTTACAAATCAATAAGGCAAGCTCTATTAAACATTTAAAGGAAAATCTAATTTGAATCATCTACAAGCTTTTTAGAGAATAGAAAAATAAAGAACACTCTCAAACTCATTTTATGGGGCTAAT